GTATGTGTGTGTGTGTATGTATTAGTGAGTGCGTTACTGTTTGTGCATATTTGTGTGCATTAGTGTGTGTGTGTGTGTGTGTGTGTGTGTGTGTGTGTGTGTGTGTGTGTGTGTGTGTGTATTTGTGTGTGTGTGTGTGTGTGTGCGCATTAGTGTGTGTGTGTGTGTATGCATTAGTGTGTGTATGTGTATGCGTGTGTGTGTATTAGAGTGTGCATTAGTGTTTGTGAGTGTTTGTGTGCATTAGTGTGTGTGTGTGTGTGTGTGTGTGTGTGTGGGTGTGTGTGTGTGTGTGCATTAATGTGTGTGTATTAGTGTGTGTATTAGTGTGTGTATTAGTGTGTGTATTAGTGTGTGCATTAGTGTGTGCGTGTGCATTAGTGTGTGCGTGTGTTAGTGTGTGTGTGTATTAGTGTGTGCGTGTGCATTAGTGTGTGCGTGTGTTAGTGTGTGTGTGTGTATTAGTGTGTGTCTATAAGTGTGTGTGTATGTGTGTGTGTGTGTGTGTATTAGTGTGTGCGTGTTCATTAGTGTGTGGGTGCTTGTGTGTGTGTCTGTATTAGTGTGTGTGTGTATTCGTGTGTTCGTGTGTGTGTATTAGTGTGTGTATTAGTGTGTGTGTGTGCATTAATGTGTGTGGTTGTGTGTGTGTGTATTAGTGGGCTCGTGTGTGTGTATTAGTGTGTGTGTGCGTGTGCATTAGTGTGTGCGTGTGCATTAGTGTGTGTGTGTGCTTGTGTGTGTGTGTGTGTATTAGTGTGCTCGTGTGTGTGTGTATTAGTGTGTGTATTAGTGTGTGCGTGTGCATTAGTGTGTGTGTGTGTGTGTGTATTAGTGTGTGTGTATAAGTGTGTTTGTGTGTGTGTATTTGTGTGTGTGTGTGTGTGTGTATTAGTGTGTGTGTGTATAAGTGTGTTTGTGTGTGTGTGTGTATTAGTGTGTGTATTAGTGTGTGCGTGTGCATTAGTGTGTGTGTGCGCTTGTGTCTGTGTGTATTAGTTTGTGTGTGTATTAGAGTGTGTGTGTGTGTGTGTGTGTCTGCATTAGTGTGTATGTGTATGTGTGTTTGTGCGTGTGTGTGTGTGTGTGTGTGTGTATTAGTGTGTGTGTGTGCAGTAGTGTGTGTATGTGTGTGTGTGTGTGAGCGTGTTTTTGTATTAGTGTGTGCATTTGTGTGTGTGTGTTTAAGTGTGACTGTGTTTGTGTAGAATATAACTGTGTTTGTGTGTGTAAGAGCATGAATGTAGGTGTGTGTGTGTGTGTGTATGTGCATTAGTGTGTCTGTGTATTAGTGTGTGTGTGTGTGCATTAGTGTGTGCGTTAGTGTTTGTGCGTGTTTGTGTGCATTAGTGTGTGTGTAAGTGAGTGTGTGTGTGTGTGGATTAGTGTGTCTGTGTGTGTGTGTGTGTGTGTGTGTGTGTTTGTCATGTTAACTCTACGTCTCCTCTGTCTGTCCTCTGTCAGAGAGTGATGTTCAGCTGCAGGAGATCAGATCTGGATGGTTCATGAACACACACACCTCCGGTCGTCCACACACACCTCTCCCTCCGTGTCCTAAATTCCCTCCACATTTGCGCAGTCGAGTGTTTGCGACGGTTCTGTTCGCGGAGTTCCTGAAGGAGCTGGCGGCCATCGCTCAGGAGCACTCCATACTGCTGGAGGACTGAACACACACACACACACACACACACACACACAATCAGAAAATTTGGCACAACACATATTACAGTTTTAGTTTTTGTAACAGATTTCAAACACAGTTGTGTGAGTAAAGCAGTTCCCACTCTCTAGTGTTGCTGTTCCCTTTCACAACACACAAGACGTTTAAGACTGAAGACACCGAGTGACGAGGCATATTGTGTGCAGTCAAATACAGCTCCAAGTAATCACTCCTTTCTTTTTTATTTGTGTTTTCCAAACTGTCCAACCCTTTCCTGATTTGGGCTTGAGCAATCATAATCACACAATCATTTAAAGGGCTCCTATCATGCTAAATGGATGTTTGTCAGCTGTTAGGTCAGAGGTGTGTGTAGTATCGTGTGTACACAGTCATACTGCAGTGATACAAACTCAATAATTCTCTTTATTAAAGTTCCTGATGGTAAAATAGGATCCAAATCACAGTGATTATGAGGCCGATTACACTGTGATGTAGGAGTGTGGTTTTCCCCACCCACTGAATTGATTGACAGGCGCATATTAACATGTCTCCATAGTAACACATGTCAACAGAACAGGATTTGTAAAGAAACTGGGATTAAAAGATCTGCTCAGCTCTCTGTGATC